AACCCCGACACACTTATTTATTTGTACATTATTTTAACGAATAAACATGCATCTTTTGCATCCTTAACCCAAGCGTCTACTTTTTTCAAGCTTTTACTGCGATGTACATCCCGAAGGTGGTTCTTTCCCAACTGTACTAGTTAAAACAAAATTCAAATACAGACAGTATTAATAACAATATATTTTCTATAATAAAATTTTTAACTTATTATTTGATCGTGATTTTTAATAAAAAAAAAAAGTTGTAATTGATACAATTACAGTTGCAATTAGTTTTTCAAGTATTATTTTATCCAACGAATTAGTTGTGAAATTGTGCACGCGGCAACTTTGAGATGACAACCGAACTGACAAAAGAGGTACTATCTAGTAGTTGCCGCATAAAAGAAGCACCTCTGTGCCTACGAGGTGGCAACCGAACCGACAAATCGACTAGCATAAGTTGCCGCATGGAAGGGGTACCTTTGCGCCTATGAGATGACAACCATAGCAACAAGCTGGCGAGTATCGGTTGCCGCATGAAAGGGGCAGCTCTGCGCCTACGAGACAGCAACCGAACCGGCCATTCTGCTGTATCGATTGCTGCATACCAGGGGCACCTCTGCGCCAACGATGTAGCAACCAGGCCTACAAACAGGCTAACTGCGGTTGATATCTAGCAGGAGCATACTCGCGTCTACTTGATGACAACACTTCGTTCACTTATCGTTCTGGCCCCGTCGATCACCGGTGACTGACACTAACTTCTCGTTCACATTTGGACACCTCCTAACATCTCGTCACAACTCCTAACCACCTATTCTAACATCATCTAACATTTAACACTTCCTGTCATCTCTTGACACCTCCTAACACCTTCCAACTACTTCCTGACATCTCCTGACAACATTGCTCCGCTCAAACTTCAACATGGTTGCAACGCCCAAGAGTACAACAAAGTTGCAACTCAGACGTTCGGAAAATAGTGACAAAATCGGGACAATCGCCACCGTTCCAAACTTCTGCGGTGCAACTTTGTTGAAGTTTTGGACTGGGCAAGGTTCAACAATGTTGCAAAGCTTTCTCTCAAAATTTCAACAAAGTTGCAGCCCTCAAGAGTTCAACAAAGTTGCAGCACTCAAAAGTTCAACAAAGTTGCATCGCAGAGGTTGAAGCGATGGCGATTTTTCCGATTTTGTCACTATTTTCCGAACGTCTGAGTTGCAACTTCGTTGTACTTTTAAGCGTTGCAAGTTTGTTGAAGTTTTGGGCCGGGCGAGGTTCCAACAATGTTGCAAAGCTTTCTCTCAAATTTCAACAAAGTTGCGGCGCTCAAAAGTTCAACAAAGTGGCAACTCAGAAGTTTGGCAAATAGTGACAAAATCGGGAAAATCGCCT